TTTTCCATGTATCTTAAGACTGGTATTGAAGACTTGAAATATAAAAATTCAAAGTCTTAATTATTAGCAAAACGTTTCGTGAGGGCATACACATGAATTTCGTTTTTTTATCTTTTCCTTTCTTTTGCGTCCATTCTCGTTCGTTTCTTATAACTCTCTCTATTCATTTTTTTAAAAAGACTTTGACTTCCTTTTCTCCCCCAAAAAAAAAAAAAAAAATACAAAGGAAATTTTAACATGGACAATGTTGACAGTTTCCCTAAAATAAATTTTGGATGTTTGTTTCATATATTGGATAATAACTATTAGTTGTTGATGTTAATCTAACAATTCAAACATTTTGAATTATAAATAATTAATCACAATTATCAATTTATCAACTATCAATTATATCAATATAGTCAATCTAAATAACCTCTTTAACTTTCAATTTTAGCTTTATTATCATCTGATAGGCCAAAGCTTATCATGGAAAAAAAAAAGGCCATCTGATAGGCCGAAAGCCCACATCGGACACCGGGGGATGAAAACGTTAATACGTAACTGACAATTGAACTGCGGACAGCCGAACAGGAAATGCCAGCGCGGTCGGAAGCAGAGCAACCATAAAAAACATTGGAGGATCTGGTGGCAACAGACAGGAGACACACAGGCTGCTATCTTCTTCCTTGTGAACCTAATTTCAGTGTCGACTCCATAAAAACGACAGCGTTGGATCTCCAATCAGCTTCTTCTCTCTGCCATTTGGCCAATCTCTATAATCCGAACGCGCAGTAGCAGAGCAGAGCAAATGTGCGTGCGTTGTGTAATTTTATTTTTCTCAATTCTTTGTTCTTGGAAGCAATCGTCTTCTTAAAAAAAAAAAAAAATGCTATTGAAGATGACTCACCCCTAATTTCAGATGATGGTTCATTTGGTTAGAGTAAAGGCGTGAATGTGAGCAGGAGAATTAAGAGATGTGTAATGTAGAGATCTCGCATCAAAGAGAAATAATGAGAATAAAATATATATATATATAGAGAGAGAGAGAGAGAGACCAGTAAAATTAATCATGGGCATGTTTTTTAAATTTTAAATGGCGTTTTCTTATAAGTATTTGTACTTTTTAAGGCTTGCACTTCTAAACTGACTCAGTTGATTCCCCAACACATTTCTCATGCAATGTCTTTACATACATCAAATCTGCTCTTTTGTATGATCTTGGCAAGTTGCCTAATTTCAGGTGATGGTTCATTGTTACTTTACATGACAATCAACAATGTTATGACGTATAGTTTTGAAAAATAGATTCAATGCAACGAAACGAATTTAGATTGTTTGACTGGCAAAAGTTTGTTTGCACGTCATTCTATTTGAATAGCATGAATGGATGTATGAACCTGTATGTTCTTTTTGCGGGTTGGAATTGCTGGTTGGCAACCCAAACTCATCATATATTTTATATAAATTATTTATTTTCATCGCTGGCTTAGAGATTTGTTTCCTTTTTTCAGTGAATAATTAATATTGAGTGTTAATTTGAAGGGAAAAGAAAAAGAGCAATGGATTATACAGTGGATCCAAACAGAGATTCTCTCACAAATTCATAATCCAAACACGTTTAACATTATATGGTAGATCAAATGGTTATGTGGAAAAAGCAGACGCCTATCATCGTACTACTTGAAGAGAGGGTTAGGTACCAACCAATACAAGAAAAATGATTTTTAGTAACAGAAATTTGTGATAAATTTTAAAATTATCACTATAACTTATCACAATTGTGATAAATTTAAAAAATTAATCACAGATACATATATATTTAATGATAAATAAAAATATTCATCATAAAAAATATATTTCGTCATTGAAAAATGTTCATAGAGATAAAATAAACTTTTGTCGATAAAAAATCATCACTATAATGCATTACAATTATGACAAAATTTTAATATTGGTCACATATACCTTATACATTCAATGATGACCAAATAATTTATCACTAAAAAATATATTTCGTCATTAAAAACTGTCAATTTTCTCCAATCAATGCATACCACATCGATAAAAAACATATAAGAGAATAAAGTTTTGCAATATAAATATATCCCACATCAATAAAAAATATTTAAGAAAATAAATTTTTGCACTATAAAACATGTGAAACTCAATAAAACTTGAGATCAATTTGGACCTGATTAATTTTAATTGGACTTGATTAATTTTAATCAAGCTTGATTAATTTTAATCAAAATTTATTAGTATTGAAATAATAATATTTTTTATTAAACTTTTGTGATAAATTTATATATATATATTTTTGACAAAATTTTTGTTAAAATTTTTGTGTTGTAATTATATAAATATCTTTTTTATTTAATATTAATTTTAATAATTAATGACTAAAATTTGCATCATAATTGCATTTGTGACGAATAAAATTGTTATAAATAACTTGTTAATAATGTCAATTTTTTCTATCACTATAAAATTATTTTCTGTGACAGGTGCTTAATTTGTCACTAACAGCATTAGTGACAAGAGTTTTACTAACGGTTCAAATTTTATCATTAATAATAATTTGTGACGAAAAATGAAGATTTAATTATCAATAATTTAGTTACTAAATGTAGATTTTCTTGTAGTGAACTATACATAAGTCTCAAAAAATAACAAATAGAAAGATTTAGTAGCGAGGTTGCAAAGAAAAAAATATCAAAAACCCTACTATAAATCTATTGATAGAGTAAAAAAAAAGTCTTAAAATTAGAATTAAAAGTAAAAAAGGCCTCTCCTTAGTTTCTCCCTAATTCGACCCTGCCCATCATTACTGTTGAAGACTTGAAGCGCATGAGAAATGAAAAATTCGGCCCCTAAAAACAATGGTTCCTTTTAATTTTCATGGTTTTACGTTCATTTTTTTTTTATTCTTTTTACACTGTGAAGATCTGTCTTCAGGTAGCTACCTAATTAGTGCCAGAGAAAAAAAAAACAAAAAAGTTAAGAAAACAGAAATAAGAAAAAAAACGGTTGATCTTTTTTTCAATTTCCTCTTCCTGTAGAAGACAAAATTGAGTGGCAAGCAGACATCAAACACCATAACCAACAAAAAAAAAACAAAAAAAAGGGGATTAGAATTAAATTTAATATGAAAATTAATTTTGATCTCAATCACAAGCAATGCTTTGAATTTTGAATTTGGGTTTGGTATTATTATTTCTCAAAACTTACAAAGAAAATGTCCCATAATTGATAGAATCAGCCCTTTTTGAACTGATCATTTGAAAAAGACCCAAAAGATTCAAAAACACACAGCGACCAACCTTTTCAGCCCACTTGGTCCACCCTATTCTCCACCTTTTCCAAACCCACCACTAAATTATTGCCATCTGGCAGTCAATCCGGCCATGGAAGAAAAATCATACTACTAAAATGGAAAAACGTGAATAATATATGGCTCCTACCTCGTAGGTTGACCGTGGAAAATTAAAAGTATGACCGGTGAACGAGAAAATCAAACATTAATTTTGGTTGACCCACAATTATTCTCCATTCAATTCCTTATATATATACACATACCATGCTCCTTTCCTATCGTCTCTTACCACATCGCCATTTGCACCTACATTTCTTAAGGATACAAATTTGTACAGTTTCCTCTGTTTTTTTTGGGAATCATCAATGGAAGAAATTGACATTCCTCAATATTTCATATGTCCGATATCGCTCCAAATCATGAGGGACCCTGTTACGGCCTTGACTGGCATCACATATGATCGAGAAAGCATAGAACAATGGCTGAATACCGCCGAAGATACGACTTGCCCAGTAACGAAGCAGCCACTGTCTAAAGATTCCGATTTGACACCAAACCACACGCTGCGGAGGTTAATTCAGGCGTGGTGTATTGCAAATGCCGTTGACAGAATTCCTACACCGAAATCTTCTCTTGACAAGGCTCATGTTCTAGGATTGATTCGCGATCTTAGGGTTGATCATTTGTGTGTAGTTGCTTTGAAAAAAATGGAAGCTTTAGCCAAGGAGAATGAAAAGAACAGGAAATGCATGGAGGAAGCTGGCGTTGCTAAGGCCATGGTTTTGTTCATAGTAAGGTGTTACAGGGAAGGCAGAGCAATCTCCGCTCTTGAGGAAGCTCTGAGTATTCTTCATCTTATTTGGACTCAATCGGAAAAAATTAAAGGTCTTGTGAATCAAAACCATGATTTCATTGATTCATTGGCATGGATTCTTCGGTACCCTGAGAATGGAAATGATCAAGTCATCGTGAAGACGAAAGCATTGGTGGTTCTCAAGCTGGTGATGGAAGTTGCAAAAACAAGTCTTCCGGAATGCTCAAAGCCAGAGTTTTTCAAAGAAATTGTAGGGTTCCTGAGAAAGAACATCTCTCAACAAGCCACCAAATCCACCTTGCAAATATTAGTGGAAGCATGTCCCTTCGGAAGAAATAGATGGAATATTGTGGAGGCCAATACAGTGTTCCACCTCATTGAACTGGAGCTCCAAAAACCCCAAAAGAACATCTCCGAACTCATATTCACTCTCCTGGTAAATTTGTGTTCCTGCGCAGACGGCAGAGCTCAATTTCTCAGCCATGCGGGGAGCATAGCGATGGTGTCCAAAAGGATCCTGAGGGTGTCTCCCGCTGTTGATGATCAGGCAGTTCGCATACTTTCATTAATCTCCAAGTTTCCTGCAACGGATGGAGTTCTTTCGGAGATGCTGAGGGTCGGAGCCGTGACGAAGCTGTGCATGGTGATTCAGGCAGATTGTGCTGTCTATTTGAAAGAGATAGTGAGGGGAATTCTCAAGCTGCATTCTAGTGTTTGGAACAATTCCCCTTGTATTGCTCTTTATCTCTTAACAGCGTACCAAGGATAGAATTGCTTTTGAAAATGGTAAATTCTATAGTTTTACCTTCACTCACCTCATTGTAACCGATGACATGAATGGTTCTAACTTCATTTTTTTTTCCTAGTTACTTCCTCAAAGTTCAAAGTTGAAACCTTGAATTTGAAAGTTTGAGATATAAAAGTTGTAACGCGGTGAAGGGATGGATTTATTAAAATATATTAAAGAATTAAGAAAAATCAAGACATCTCAATAATTAAAATATTAAGAATAATAATAAAAATATTATAATACTTTCAATAAATTAAGATACAAAAAAAAAATATTTATTTAGAGTATTTCAATAATTTAACAAAAAATTTAACATTAAAATGTCAAGACATCTTGAGTGCTACTTTTCTCATATATTAATTAAGGTTTTTATTGGAAGATGAGAATTCTGGTTGATCTTCTCCTTATCTGAATTATTTTTGTTTGTTGTTGTTAAGTAAGTTTTTTCTTCTCATGGTGGTATTACTACTCCAAGCAGATTAGCAGAAACAGGACAAGTTTGATTTTGAGAATTCAGATAATGTGGGCGGTTCAATTTGGATTTTGGACCGTTATTTATAAGTTAATTCCCTGATCTTGATTGAAACTGACATTCATTCAAACACATTGGACGGTCAAAATAAACTTATTTTCTTACTATACATGTCAGATACTTGGAATCTGGATGTTTAAGGAAAGAACTTTTTTTTTTTTTTGGTTGCGGGAAAGAACTTATTAGCATATGAAAAATGCATGCATGCTGACTGATGAACAGTGCAAGGAATTGAAATGTTTTTTTTTTTTTTTTTGGTAGAAAAGGAATTGAAATGTTATGATAATGCATTTATACTTCTCATATCACATAAACACTTGACATATGTATTTAGTATCTATGCATTTTCACATTTTATGTTAAAAGACACATGTATATATATATATTTTTATTTTGGTTGCATAATGTGAGACAACTATCTTTCATTTTTTATCTCACTTCATCCGCATATCATGTAATTCAAAATCAGGATCTCTTATTTTCAATAAAAAGAGATAAATACTGATTTATTTAGGTCATTGGTATTAAAACACAATGTATATATATAGATATTTCAATATATTCTTTTTAGATAGCTTCAATAATATACTACCACACACGGTTGACTGGTGTGTATAGAATCAACAACCTCAAGATATGCATTGTGCCCCATTTAAAGGAGTGCTGTTCCATTCCTACTGCTGATAAAAAATTTAGGTTGATTCTTAAGGATTTGACACGGATTTTATATGTCTTTCAATTTTTTAAACTAAGGTAATTGTTGAGAGAAGAATTTAAATAAAAAAGTAGAGTTTGAATCTCACACCTTAAACATCATTTAATAAAGAATTATATTTTATACTTAAACAAAATATGCTTATTAGATTTAAGATGTGTGTGAATTAATATACCATACTTTTTTTTAAAACAAATCCAATGGAATAATATGTATCATTAAGGAGTACAAAAAATACTCCATAACAAAATATAGAGTCTTGAATAAAGTCCTAATGTAATTGTTTTACAAGCAATTTAACTAATACAATACTACTCAATGCAACCAACAAAATAAAATTAATATATTATACCTTTGTAAGTTGGAATTGGACTTTATAACTTAATGGTAGATTCAAAGACACTGTTATTTTATAATAAAATTATACAGTAGCTAAGAAAACCAAACTCACGGCTAGCTGAGAAGAGATCAAGTGAATTGGTAAACGGCAGCGGCCAAACAATGGTTAGTTGGAATCGACCGGTTGATGAGGTCATTAAATTAGTTAATTAATTTGACTGTGCTAGAAGAACTCCAAGGCTGAAGCTACCCGGCAACGCTTACATGGTCGTCCCGGTGTTATTGTAACAAATCTCTCTGGAAAACTAGCTACTAGAAGTATATAGATAGATGTCTTCCTGAACCAGCTGATTAATTAATTAATTAGTACCCTCTCAGAAAGGTTGTTGATCCTTGTTTGGGTTTTTTGTTCGAACTTCTTTTGAAATTCTCAAGTCAAAAGAAGAATAC